CGACGCACACCGTGGGCCTGGTGCGTGGAGCAGGGACCGGCTGGGCTGGGCTGACGACGCACACCGTAGGCTTAGTGCGTAGAGCAGGGACAGGCCGGGCTGGGCTGGCGACGCGCACCATTAACTTAGTGCGTGGAGCAGGGACCGGCTGGGCTGGGCTGACGACGCACACCGTAGGCTTAGTGCGTAGAGCAGGGACAGGCCGGGCTGGGCTGGCGACGCGCACCATTAACTTAGTGCGTGGAGCAGGAACAGGCCTCACCGGACTGTGGAGACGGATAGGAGACCTGGAATGAAGAGCGGCCACAATACGTCCCGGCTGAATGCCTACCTTCACACACTCTGTGTGAGGCATCCGCACAGGACGTACAGGGCTGTGTACCCGTACCGACATGACAGCATGTGATACTGGAGCAGGATATCCGGGACCGCGGAGAGGCATAGGAGACCACGAGCGTTGAGCCGGCACACTCCGTCCTGGCTGCATACCCCCCTTCGCACGACACGTGTGGGGTGCTCGCACAGGACGTACAGGACTGTGCCGGACCACTCGTGGCACCGTACGCTGCTCCGCATACCGCGGAACCTGCCCCGTCCCATGCTGCCATGCCTGAGTACGGGAAGTTGGTTCCGCTCTCCATCCCGGCCTCGCCAACCTGCCTTCTGGCCCCCAAAACCCGGTGGCCTCCTCTCCAAATTGCCCTGTGGCAGCCTCCTGCTGCCCAGCCGCCCAAGCCATGTGCCCCCCCCCCAATTTTTTTGGGGGGTTGCCTCTCTTCCATCCGACGATGGCCCTGCTGACGCCGTTGCTCCTCTCTCGCCAGGGCCTTGATCCTTCCCCAAGGTCCCTTGCCCCCGAGCATGTCCTCCCAGGACCACGATTTGCCCACCTGGGCCATCGCCAGCCTCTCTATCTCCTTACCCGGCGCTTCCTCCCATGTCCAGTCTCCTTGCTCCTGGACACGCTGCTTGGTCCTTTTACGGTGGGTTTTTCTGTCACGATCGTCCAATGAGGGAGACCAAAGCGCAGCGCGTTGAGCGAACATGACTTTATTATATTAAAGTACTGAACACCAAAACAACAAACAATGACGATACGTGAAGTCCTCTGTAACACTGACAGAACATGGAACAAAAACCCACAAACACAAGGTGAAAACACACAGTTTAAATATGGCTCCCAATCAGAGATAACGAGCCGACAGCTGACACTCGTTACCACTGATTGGGAGTCACACGACCAAACAAGGAAACAACACCATAGACAACCCAACCAAACAGAACACAACGAAACGAACACACCCTGGCTCAACATACAAAGTCCCGGAGCCAGAGCGTGACAGATGGCAAAAACAATAACATATATAATGATTAAAAGTCAAGACAAAATTACAAACAACCATAAATACATTCATTTATATTGACATCCAAAAAATTGCACTATTCACTGCACTTTTCCATAACCTTAAAAATCAACCACATTAATTTCACATAAAAACAATATATTCATTGCACATCATACCTATCATTCAAATAAATACAAAGCAGGTGCAACTCAATATTAGGAAGGTGTATTTCTAGATGAAACACTGATTAAGTTTGGTGAAAAAGTGACTGTATGATTTTGTGTGTTGTACTTAGTCTATTGAAAATATGCTTAGAGTTTTGAAAACAACTGCCTTTTTTATCTGTTTTGAGTTTTGTACTAAGAATTGTGAAATTTTACCACATACTTGTGAAATTGCACCAAAGCGATAAAAAACTGTAAGGAGCTGTGTGTTTCCATTTAAAACCTGCCTGCTTTAGCAAAGTAGTTGACAGGTGATGACAGGCTGCTGATGTGGGTGGGTGTGTGTGTTTGCGTGCATGCGTGCGTGCGTGTGTGTGTGTGTTTGAGAGAGGGAGTTGTTTATGTATTTACTTATGTACATCATGATCACTGTGAGTGTGGTGGAAATGACAGATAAGGTGTGAATGGATTTTTAGAAACAATTTCAAAACAGTGAGATATGCCAAACTTTTCCTGAGCAGCACCAGGCGTTAACGTTTAGGGCTCTATTTTCGGCTGGCATTAAGGCGGCGTTAGTGTCAAACGCATGTTCGTTTGCAATTTTGTCCTGTAAAACTGGCGCACTGGCATTTTCCAACCCTAATGCCAGGTTTGGCAATTCACCTGTGTTATATCAGCTTACTTGCACTCAGATGGGCGGGGTGGAAATATTTGAGGTGTGGCCTTAAAAACATGATCCAAAGTGCTAATTTCAGGCAGTGCTGATAGGGATATTTAAGAACAACCAAAAGCTGGTTTTAGCGGTAATGTAGTTGGTTATGGCATGAATTTTGACAGCGAAAATGCAGTCTATCCAGCTGTGATGCCCACTGCCCATACTGTATGCGCATGGAACAAAAGTAGGCCAATGTGCTTCTGGTGCCTGTATACTTCGTATTTAGAAACATTTCGTTTTATGTTATTAAAAACCAAGCATAGCCTCCCATCCTCTCAATTAAGGCTTTTTTTTGTGTCTGCCCAATGACTGTAGATAAAGGGTTTGGCTCCTGAGACCGCTTGGAAATACATCTTAATCACCAAAGCTTTATTAAAATATCAAGTTTGAGAGGAGTAAAACAGTGAGCTGACATTCCCTTTTTATCTATGCATTGTATGAAGGCCCACATTATTTTAGCCATGAAGGTCCCGTTTTGGATGTGCGTAAAACCCACTCCATCATGTAGGCTACGTGTCCATGCCCATCATGAAATGAGAGATGAGTACCTCGGTGAATGCCGTTGAACCTCGTATTTAGAAGTCATCTGTACCCTGTAAAAAATTGCTTAATTTCCATTTCGTATGTTCAAAACCCAAGCCCTCCCTTATGCCTACTATAACGAAGACTGGTTCAACAGCAATGTGTGTCTTTTTTATCCTGGCCATTTTATGATGTCATTACATTTTACATTTATTTATTGTTGTTTTAAAAAAACTGCTTGTTTTTCGTTACATTTTATTACAACCAAACTTATTAGAATGATTCACCTTCATGGTTTTATGGTGACAACGTCCGTGGCGCGCTTGCAATGCAACTTCTGGAGATGTGTGAATGCGATCTGATCTGTAAGACGGTTCCGATTATGTTCATAAAACATAGGACTATTTGGTAGCAGTATAACGGTGATTGGCCATTCTCCCTTTCTATTTATATTGGATCTTTATCCAGCTACTGTGAAAAGTTTAGATGTGTTTAAAACCCTCCATAGTCTGCATTTTTTAAATATTATATGCCCATGGGAAGAAATGATGGTGCCTGTAAGTGTGACTATTGAAAACAAGTTGCTGTTTTGTTTAGAATTTGTTTAGAATTATTCATTCTCTTTTTAGGCCTTATCCATCATTAATTTAATATTGCTTGTTGACAACGTTTGGCATGTCCTTGCTCAGCCGTAATGCAATTTACAGTAGGCCTAGCCCCTATGTCAGTGTGAATGCTATTGAAGCCATGCAATTACTTAGAACAAGGTGGACTGCAAACGGGTTCAAGTTAACGTATTTATCAAATATAGATCTACATTTAGTTATTTATTTTCTGTAAGCCATTTAACAAACTATAACGAACTAACATTGGAATTGGAGTTGATTCCAAGGCAGTACATAAAAGACAGTAAATACACAACTTGAATCAAGCACAGATTTTGCCATGGAGCACGTTCTGATTGGCCAGTGAGGGGCCAAGCGTTGACACACCCACAACTTGTTCCAGAGAGGCTGTTAAGTTTGTCGAAACTGCTTGTGTTGTATGACTTTGAGGATGTTGCGTGTGTGTGCTTGTGTGCGTGTAGGGTATTTCTGTGGGATTGCAGAGCCATTCTATTCTTAGAAGAGCAGCTGACCTCATGGTCCTTCCTGGTCCCTTACCGCCAGTAGGACAACAATCTGGACATTCACTCACACACACAGCGATACACACACACAGAGGCACATTTAAAAGCATACACACAGCCGCTCGCTCGCTCACTCACACACACACCTATTTTAGAACAGACTTGTTAAAGTGTCAAAGGAAAGTATGGGTGCCAAAGTCATTACATGGTGATTATAACTTCTAACTGCTGTTCTACTGCTTGTGGCTGCTCCAGTCTAGTTTATCTATAGTTTAAGGTCGTTGTGTCCTTGCTCTATAATGCACTGCAGGAGTACTAGCTGTGCTCTGTGCTTAGGGACTGGTGAAGTTTATTAGTGAAACAGTAGTCAATATATGAGCTCACCCTGCTTGATAAGCTCCCACTTTCTCACAGTCTGTCCCTCATACATATGCACAGATGTACACAGAAGCACTCACACACAAACACACACACACACACACATGAATGACTTGGCCTGGTAGCTCCTTAATTGAATTAACTGGCCTCTGATCTCGATGCCGGGGGGTTTAGGTTGTGATGGGAACATGTTTGACACCAAGTCAAACAGTGTGTTGTGTGTGTTGACCTGACTGACTGACTGACTGACAGCCCAGACCTCTCATGTGACACAATGAGATGATGAGTCTGATACGCAACTCTGTGGGAAACCGACCAGCCCACGAAATGCTACATTGAGATTTAATGAAGACAGAAATCATAATATGTCCGCTTTCTGCAATGAGAGGAGAGCAGATGTGTGGAAACACTGAGTAAACCGAGTTTGCAATGTGGAGCTCTGTTGCTACTAGGTCCATAGAGGAAGCTGGGAGCTCATTTAAGAAGCACTGCTAGACAGTAGTTTGGCTATGAAAAACTTTCATTATGAGTTATCCCACTAGGCACACACTGGTTAAATCAATGCTGTTTCCATATAATTTCAATGAAATTACGTTGAACCAACGTGGAATAGACGTTGAATTGAGATCTGTGCCCAGTGGGATCTCACTATGAGATATCTTCCCATAGAGTAAGATTATAAACATAAATTACTAGAAAAGTTGGCTCCAATTTAAACGTATTTACCCATGTACTCAATGTATTCTATGTGCCCATTGTGCAGGTGTTCCATCCAGAGGGAGTGTTCCTGGGGGCCTCTGGCGCGCTCCTGGATCGGGATGGGCGAAGGTCCCCAGCAGTGCCCCTCCATGACTCTCACCCCCCCAGAGATCAGCCTATCCGCTGACATCAAGGTACCATACATTACATCATAACTGTTTTTATGTGTCATCAGGTGTATGTAAGTTCAAACATATTGTTAAGTGAATCATGTGAAGTGCCAAGTCATTATTTAAAGTATTGAGTTGTTACGTTCATAAGATTTCTCAAGTGTATGTACAGTCGGTACATTATGAGGATCAGACACAGCATTGTGTTGGGTATGTAGGTCAGGTTGGCTGAGATAGGTCCAGCAGCTGTCCAATCCCAAGTCATCACTCAGGACCACAGGAAGCTGGGCCCACTGCCGTCTCCCCAAACAGGAAGCAGCAAGCAGGAAAGAGGAAGTCAGCGCCACAGCCAGGAAGGATCAATTCCAAAGACAATAGAGTGGAGTTCAGTGTAGCATGTTACCATATATCACTGGCCTCTCCAACTACTGTCTCTACAGCTATGTCATCTTCCTGTCTGTCTGTCGCTCTGACTATTCACCCCCCCCTCGTCTCCCCCTCTTCCTCCCCCTCTGTTTTTCTCCCACATATTGAAATGAGTTCAGTGAGATTGACAGACAATGAAGTGTGATGTTCCTCAGTGTTGTGATCCCAGTATAGATCTCTCATGTCTCTCGTCACGCAACAGTATGTTTAGATGCAAGTTTACTATTGCCATCTGTCTTTTGGAGACATAAAGATTTCTCTCTCCCTCTCTTTCCTTGCCTCCAACCCCCTCACCCCTCCTTCTCTCCACCAGGATGTGGGGATTCTGATAAACGGCAGTGTCCCTGATCTGGTTGGTTCGCGGGTGGAATGTGACTATGGATTGGGCGTTGCCACGGCAGCCACGGTGCACCTTGACTACGGCCCAGCCCAGATTCAGACCTGCCCCCTACTGCCTCGGGAGAGGTACCCCAACATCCCCCCTGGCAGAGGTAAGGGTTACATATACTACTGGTAGACCAATAGTTGGATTTCATCCTGTGACATCACTGCTGATCTTGACATATGCTGAGACATTTCCATATTATATGTTGTTGTGCCAGATCACCTGATGGTTCCCGTGGCGATAAAGGTGAACGGCACGTCCGTGGTTTCCGGGAGCTTCGTCATCTATGATTGCGAGAGGACAGGAGTGATACACCCCAAGACTGCGTGAGTGTTTTCAAGTCTATGAGTCATCTAGGGTTTCTTTTACACTTGGTTAACCAACTTATACTGTAGTTTTAACCACTAACACTATTACAAGACCTTCCTAAGTTAAACCCAGTTACAAGACACAAACACACTGACACACACACTTCCACACTTCCAATCAGCACTGTCTCTGTTTACCCCGGATCCACCAAGATAAATCAGCCTCAAATTAAGCCGAAATAGCAGGATCATAACTGTGAAATTTGAGGCACGCAATCAGCCCTGTCCCTGAGCAGAGTTCTCTGCCAAGTCCCTCGCATCACTCAAATGTCGGCCAAATGTCATCTATAGTCTCACTGGCATTCTCTCACAGCACATGGAGCTCCAAGCAGAAAGGGCTGCAGACAGAGGTGTAATGCACCCCAAAAATGTGAGGGGGCACAAAGTCCATGAGGGTTGAACAATTTTGCATTTTTCAAAAACCTGAAACCACCTTTCCTGCTATCTAGAGCCCTAATCATTATGATTCATTCTATGTCAAAATATATAAAAAAATCTGCATATCTAAGCATACCTCTTGAGCTGTCTGTATCCTACTGACTGGTGGTTCTTTAAAAAAATAACTAAATATGCTTCTCTGCATCTCTGCTAAAATCTGGGTAAAAGATTGAAAGGAATGTGAGTCTTTTTCAGTACATTTAGTTATTGGCTGCTTTTCTAAAGTCTACCAACCTTGCCAGCAGGCATGCCAGCTAAGATAGTTAGACAAGCTAGCTACTCTAACTTGATTAATAGCCTGAAATGGCTTCTTGGTAGCTAGTTATGAGGTTGGGAGATTGGGAACCTATCTGGGCTAGCTAAAGCCAACTTCATAAAATATATAGGTGGCTAGTAGTATTAAAGAGAAACAACAAACAAACAAACAAACAAAAAAGTATTATATATACAGTGGGGAGAACAAGTATTTGATACACTGCCGATTTTGCAGGTTTTCCTACTTACAAAGCATGTAGAGGTCTGTAATTTTTATCATAGGTACAGTTTAACTGTGAGAGACGGAATCTAAAACAGAAATCCAGAAAATCAGTGAGAGACGGAATCTAAAACAAAAATCCAGAAAATCACATTGTATGATTTTTAAGCAATTAATTTGCATTTTATTGCATGACATAAGTATTTGATACATCAGAAAAGCAGACCTTAATATTTGGTACAGAAACCTTTGTTTGCAATTACAGAGATCATACGTTTCCTGTAGGTCTTGACCAGGTTCGCACACACTGCAGCAGGGATTTTGGCCCACTCCTCCATACAGACCTTCTCCAGATCCTTCAGGTTTCGGGGCTGTCGCTGGGCAATACGGACTTTCAGCTCCCTCCAAAGATGTTCGATTGGGTTCAGGTCTGGAGACTGGCTAGGCCACTCCAGGACCTTGAGATGCTTCTTACGGAGCCACTCCTTAGTTGCCCTGGCTGTGTGTTTCGGGTCGTTGTCATGCTGGAAGACCCAGCCACGACCCATCTTCAATGCTATTACTGAGGGAAAGAGGTTGTTGGCCAAGATCTCGCGATACATGGCCCCATCCATCCTCCCCTCAATACGGTGCAGTCGTCCTGTCCCCTTTGCAGAAAAGCATCCCCAAAGAATGATGTTTCCACCACCATGCTTCACGGTTGGGATGGTGTTCTTGGGGTTGTACTCATCCTTCTTCTTCCTCCAAACACGGTGAGTGGAGTTTAGACCAAAAAGCTATATTTTTGTCTCATCAGACCACATGACCTTCTCCCATTCCTCCTCTGGATCATCCAGATGGTCATTGGCAAACTTCAGACGGGCCTGGACATGCGCTGGCTTGAGCAGGAGGACCTTGCGTGCGCTGCAGGATTTTAATCCATGACGGCATAGTGTGTTACTAATGGTTTTCTTTGAGACTGTGGTCCCAGCTTTCTTCAGGTCATTGACCAGGTCCTGCCGTGTAGTTCTTGGCTGATCCCTCACCTTCCTCATGATCATTGATGCCCCATGAGGTGAGATCTTGCATGGAGCCCCAGACCGAGGGTGATTGACCGTCATCTTGAACTTCTTCCATTTTCTAATAATTGCGCCAACAGTTGTTGCCTTCTCACCAAGCTGCTTGCCTATTGTCCTGTAGCCCATCCCAGCCTTGTGCAGGTCTACAATTTTATCCCTGATGTCCTTACACAGCTCTCTGGTTTTGGCCATTGTGGAGAGGTTGGAGTCTGTTTGATTGAGTGTGTGGACAGGTGTCTTTTATACAGGTAACGAGTTCAAACAGGTGCAGTTAATACAGGTAATGAGTGGAGAACAGGAGGGCTTCTTAAAGAAAAACTAACAGGTCTGTGAGAGCCGGAATTCTTACTGGTTTGTAGGTGATCAAATACTTATGTCATGCAATAAAATGCAAATTAATTACTTAAAAATCATACAATGTGATTTTCTGGATTTTTGTTTTAGATTCTGTCTCTCACAGTTGAAGTGTACCTATGATAAAAATTACAGACCTCTACATGCTTTGTAAGTAGGAAAACCTGCAAAATCGGCAGTGTATCAAATACTTGTTCTCCCCACTGTATATACTGTATATTATTATTATTTTTATTTTATTTTTTTAATTACAGGACAAATCTTAGGGGCCACGTGCCCCTGTGCCCCCTATGGCCATGATGCCATTCTATATCAGAGCTATAGAAATCAGTGTTGGTGTCACTGAGGGGTGCTCTATTGTTTATATTTGTCTTGTATGTACTGTATGTTGTTGGTTGGCTATATACAGTGTCTCTCATGTTGTTTTATGTGGTCTACACTACTATGTTTTGCCTAGCAACTGTTGTTTATTGGGCGTAAATATAGTTTATTGAATTGAATAGCTTTCCCTCTGTACTTAGCGAGGGGGATGATGTTTCAATATTATTCTATATCTATTTGCATAGTTTAAATTCAGCCTGGTTGAAGTCTTGACACGGGATTAAATGTGAAATTAATATAGTGTGGAAGTAGAAGTAAGCTAATTGGCTAAGAAAGTAAGAGCTATGGCTGGTCCTGTTCATGCTTTTCCTGTGAAGAGCTGTGGCTAATGTACAGTGCTTTGCAAAAGTCTTCATCCCCCTTGGAGTTTTTCCTATTTTGTTGCATTACAACTTGTAATTTAAATTGATTTTTATTTGGATTTCATGTAATGGACATACACAAAATAGTCAAAATTGGTGAAGTGAAATGAAAAAAATAACTTGTTTTCTAAAAAATTAATATTTTTAGTATTCACCCCTTTGCTATGAAGCCCCTAAATAAGATCTGGTACAACCAATTACCTTCAGAAGTCACATAATTAGTTAAATAAAGTCCACCTGTGTGCAATCTAAGTGTCACATGATCTGTCACATGATCTCAGTATATATACACCTGTTCTGAAAGGCACCAGAGTCTGCAACACCACTAAGCAAGGGGCACCACCAAGCAATCAGCACCATGAAGAACAAGGAGCTCTCCAAACAGGTCAGGGACAAAGTTGTGGAGAAGTACAGATCAGGGTTGGGTTATTAAAAAAATATCAGAAACTTTGAACATCCCACAGAGCACCTTTAAATACATTATAAAAAATGGAAAGAATATGGCACCACAACAAACCTGCCAAGAGAGGGCCGCCCACCAAAATTCACGGACCAGGCAAGTAGGGCATTAATCAGAGAGGCAACAAAGAGACCAAAGATAACCCTGAAGGAGCTGCAAAGCTCCACAGCGGAGATTGGAGTATCTGTCCATAGGACCACTTTAAGCCGTACACTCCACAGAGCTGGGCTTTACAAAAGAGTGCCCAGAAAAAAAGCCATTGCTTAAAGAAAAGAATAAGCAAACACGTTTGGCATATGGGTGACTGCCCAAACATATGGAAGAAGGTACTCTTGTCAGATGAGACTAAAATTGTGCCTTTTGACCATCAAGGAAAACGCTATGTCTGGCGCAAACCCAACACCTCTCATCACCCCGAGAACACCATCCCCACAGTGAAGCATGGTGGTGGCAGCATCATGCTGTGTGGATGATTTTCATCGGCAGGGACTGGGAAACTGGTCAGAATTGAAGGAATGATGGATGGCGCTAAATACAGGGAAATTCTTGAGGGAAACCTGTTTCAGTCTTCCAGAGATTTGAGACTTGGACGGAGGTTCACCTTCCAGCAGGACAATGACCTTAAGCATACTGCTAAAGCAACACTCGAGTGGTTTAAGGGGAAACATTTAAATTTCTTGGAATGGCCTAGTCAAAGCCCAGACCTCAATCCAATTGAGAATATGTAGTATGACTTAAAGATTGCTGTACACTAGCGGATCCCATCCAATTTGAAGGAGCTGGAGCAGTTTTGCCTTGAAGAATGGGCAAAAATCCCAGTGGCTAGATGTGCCAAGCTTATAGAGACATACCCCAAGAGACTTGCAGCTGTAATTGCTGCAAAAGGTGGCTCTACAAAGTATTGACTTTGAGTGGGTGAATAGTTATGCACGCTCAAGTTTTTTTTTTTTTTTGTGTCTTATTTCTTGTTTGTTTCACAATTTTTTTATTTTGCATCTTCAAAGTGGTAGGCATGTTGTGAAAATCAGATGATAAAAAACCCCCAAAAATCCATTTTAATTCCAGGTTGTAAGGCAACAAAATAGGAAAAATGCCAAGGGGGGTGAATACTTTTGCAAGCCACTGTATGTTTAATGTGTATAGTGTAATGTGTATAATGTATGTGTATGTACCTATAAATTACAATGTGTATGTGTGTGCATACATAGCAGCAAACTGTTAGGGTGTGTTCATTCGGTCCACTTGTCAGATTGGTTTAGAGGTGTGAAAATTGACTTGTGTGTGTGTGTATGCAGGTGTATAATAATAATAGATGTAATTGAAGTAGCACTTTTTTTTACACGTTAAATCTCGAAGAAGATATGTAAGATGTTGTATGTGTGTGTTCTTGCAAGCCCCTGTGTCCTCAGTGAGGTTTGAAGGTGTGAAGTTAGA